TGTGTATATATATATATATATATATATATATATATATATATATAGTTTAATTTGTCTATGAGTTGTATGGAATGATGAATATATATATATATATATATATATATATATGTGTGTGTGTGTGTGTGTGTGTGTGTGTGTGTGTGTATTGATTTTAAATAATCAAGGATTATTAAGGAAGGTGTTAAACACATATATATATTAAATAATATATGTGTAGGTATATATATATATAAATCATTTAAGATGATTAATATTATCATTCTTATTTGGCATATCTTGATAGGCTGGTTGTTAAATTAATGATATTCGTATAATATGCATGTGATGGCTATGTATGATTTAGCGTATTGTTAATTTTAAAGTTAATTCATGGTTAAAGTGTGGGCATGGATGAATTGTCAAATGATTAAATATATTACCTAAATATTTGTATGAATAGAATACATATATGGAAAGTATGGATGAATTGCTAATTAAATGTATGAATAAATATACCTGTGGAGGCATGGTTGAATTGTCAATGTATAAATATACATACACGGATGCATGGTTGAATTGCCAATGTATAAATAAATATACTTATGGAGGCATGGTTGAATTGCCAATATATAAATAAAAATATTTATAATGGCATGGTTGATTTGCCAAAGCATAATTACGTTGTTATGTGTTAGATGATTAAAATATCATCTATGGTTATTGTATGTATGGATTGGATTAAGGTTAGATATTCTTAAATGAGAATAGTTTAGTACTTACTGATTAGTGTATTATTTAATATTAATAAAATAATATTGGGGAAGACATAGATGATTTGTCAAAGCTTGGATTTTGGATATGTGATTTAAACAATTAAAATCATTATCGGGTTGGGATTAAATAGAGTATTTCTTTTATTATAATTTATTATTTAAGTGATTAAACAACTGATTAGGATGGAATTCAGGTTAAAGGAGTTTATTTTTTTTTAAAAGAAATGGTGGATTGGTCTAGGTATGATTATTATTTTAATCATTATTTAATAGGTTTGAAAATTTAATAAATCTATTAGTGGATGTGATTAATGTAGTATATATAATTATTTATATATATGTATATCATGCTATATTAAAGTTAAATTCTTTATTAGGTTGGATTTTGATCAGAGATAATCTACTTATTGGTTTTCAGAGGTCTGGTAGAGAGAACTTGCTCGTAAGGTTTAACCCACGATTTATTTTTCAGGTTATTAGAAGTTCCAGTCTCGAGGTTGAGGATCCGCAGCTGTGAGACTATTATTCATCTATTCATCTTGTGTACTTTTAAGTAGTATTGGATTATAGATAATGTTTTAAGGGGTCCTTGGGTTATGGGATTCCCGAGTTGTAATTGTTGGAGAGTTATTAATTAATGGAAATTATTATTTATTAGTTTTTCTTCAACGTATTATTTATTCTTTTATTTCACTTTGTATTCTGTGCTTGATTAAATACTTTAATTGTTTTGATATCCCTTAATTTTGTGCGCGGACTTGATCAACCCGTGTTTCGAAATTAGGGGGTATTACAACAAGGGGACAAAAAAAAAAAAAAAAGACTCCCCTATCTAAAATTGAGAAGAAAGAGAGAGAGTGTGTCGGCGACTAGGTACTAAAATGAATCCCAAAAAAAAATAAAAATTAGAGATTATGGTAGAAAAATAGGCTTAATGATAAGAATAGTTTCATCAATTAACAAAATTGATATTTTGTAAATTAATTGAATTAAATAATCAGGGACAAATATGGCATTTGAAATAACAGAGTGTCGTTGTTAAAAAAGCTGTTGACTCGCATCTAAGTGACATTGACCAAAGCCTCAAGGGTGTCAATGTAATTTACCCTAATAATAATAATAATAATAATAATTGATTTTGGTGTGCAATCCAATTGGTTTGAGAGAGAGTTGCCAAACATGTCAAGGTTAGGGTTTGCAATTGTTGCTATGATACACTATGGTGGAGACTCGATGTAAACAAAAAACCAAGATCGTGAATAGATATGCAATTGATAGATATATATTTTGTGTGTGTGTGTGTGTATATATATATATATATATATATATATATATTCGGTGGATGAACTGATATACGTCTATATGATTAGTGGCGGCGGTGGTGGTAGGTGAGGATGAGGATAGGTATGCCAAAAATGTGGTTAATAATGCTGGGGTATTTTATTAAAGGGCAGTAACGTCTTTTTATTTTTTTTATGGGTTGTTTGGCTGCAATTTCTGATAGGGGATATAAGTGTTTTAAAAAAAAATTAACTTTCATCTGTCTGTCAATAAAGTAAGTTTGAGAGGATGTGAGTGTAATTAATCTTAATAATTAAATATTATATATGAAAAAAAAAGAAACTTATACAAGAAACAACAACTAATCACTTAACACATGGCATGGTCCACATCAACCCAAGTCAATGGAATGGTCAAACCGAACCATGATATCAGCCAGGACCCAGGAGTACGACTAGGAAAAACATTACTTGAAGCTGTCCCAAAAAATCAGCAAGTCCAATCTCAACCCTTCAAGACAATCACACACAGAGAGAGAGAGAGAGAGAGAGAGATCATTTCCAATTTCCCGAATAAATTACTCAATGAAGTAGTAAACTATGCCGTTTGGCTAATGTTTTTGTTTAATATTTTTTATTTTAATTAATGTATTTTAGCAAAGTATAAATACAAACTCTGTTTTGTAACATTTGTTGTTTGAATAGTACATAAATGCTTTCGAAATTAAGGTCAAAATCGAAATCATGAAAATGACACTTTTGTTTACTTCAGTACAGTGACAAAGTACTGCTAAAAAAAAAACTTCTAAAATAACATTTTTAACTAGTCATTCAAATTTTCAAATTTATAACACTTTTTACCAAACATACTTTCATGCTTTTACTTTTAAAAATCTTGTAACAAATTTACGTTATAAACATAAGTTTCGAAATAGTATTGAACACACTTTAAAGCAAAACCATTGCTTCTGCTTCGGGTCAAAGCAAAAGCGATTACCAAACAGATGATAAATATATGTGAAAAACGCATGGAAAATATATATATAGAAATTAAATTACTTTTGTACAAGATTACTAATCCATTTTAATTCTTCAAACACGTTGAAGACAATAGATGCAGAGTAATAAAAATTACTTTGGACATGTTTGGTTTGTAACTCTGAAAATATTAGAAATAAGAAGACATTACAAATGCTCTATTTGGTTCAGTTTTTTAAAAACTCAAGTTAAAAATTAAAAAAAAAAAAAAAATTTCAAATAACTGTCTTTTATAGGTCTTTGAAAATAGTTTTCTGTTTTCTTAATTCTTGAGAACTGTTTTTAAAGTTACAAACCAAACAGACAATTTACTTTCTTTTGAACACAAAAAAATCAAGAGAGACAAGATTACATAATGAGGTATTTTCAAAAATTGAGTTGGGGCAGTTTTAAATTTTTAACAAATCTATATTTTTTTTTCTTGACAAACTAGGGGGACTCAATTAGTTAGGCCGTTGAGTAATGCAAAAAAAAAAGAAAAAAGAGCTATATCTACGGAGCATTGTAAATAAAAATAAAATTCACGATAAATATAATTACCTTATTCTTTCACATAAGCACTCAACGAATAGATAATCAACATCGAAGACTGGGATATGTTTGAAAATTGCAGTTTTTAGCAGCAAAACTCTCATTATGGTCACCTTTTTCTGGTTGTTGGCAAATATTATAGTTTTCAACCACCTGGAAGAATTTGACGGCATGAAGTTGATTATCTGCATTAACAATATACGATTATTGGACATAAATTTTATACAGTATATAATAACGACAAGACCCTACCATGGAAGAAAATTCTACTTTTTAAATATATGTTCATGAAGACAAAAATTTCAAAATAATTCTTTTGTTCATAAAGACAAAAATTTCAAAATAATTCTTTTGACCATGGAGATTATAAATTTAGGAAAATCATTTCAGAAACTCTCTTTTCTTTAGAAAGGACCTTGATGGTCAAGGACGTTAAATCTACCCAACAACTTAATTAATGAAGATTCACATATACATTAATGCAATAAAATTTTGGCATTAGCAGTAAGAATCTAAGCTAAACTACTTCTAAACGAGAAAAACAAAACTCTTATTCATTTTAGGCATGACCGGTTTGTTGCTTACCCGCAAATGTAAATAGTTTGTTTACTTAGCTCCTGCTTCCACTACTATAGCTTATTGTGTCAAGTATTGAAGCTTTTTTCATGAACCTTCCGAACAAAAAAAAAGGTATATATTGAAGCTTTTTTTTTTTAGTTGTAATTTTTCCGGTTATTACTCAACTTTACAGAGTGAAGGCATTTTGCATTTTCTTTATGTTATGACGGTGAAATCGGATCCTTTTCAATTTTTTTTTTTTTTTTTTTTTAAATTTTTTTTTGGAAATAAAAAAAAAATGGTTCTAAAACTGATTGCTGTTCCTGTTTTCGGTTTCGAATTACTGAGCTTCAAACCACAATGAAACAAATCTTATTACTACATCAATCTCCATCTTTACAGATACAACTAATTGTTCTAAAAGTTTTAAAACTTTAATGTTTATATCATCATATAAGGAATAACTGACATAAAACAACTCAACTTTCTAAACACATGCAAAAGCCATTTAGAAAGAAATACTTGAGTAATCCAAATTTTGGGAAAAGGAAAAACCAAGTACTAGATGGAAGAAACCAGAATGAGAGCTTTATTATAGATTTATTAATCTATGAATTACAAGAGACCTTCAAAGTAACATACACAAACTTAGTACCCATGTTTCTTAGCCATTTGGAAGCTAAATATTTAACTTCTTATTTTAATATTTCACGTCTAACTAACCAACCAATTACTTTCTTTTAACTTTCAAAGATGTAATAATAAAAATTAGATGTATCTAATTAATAGAATACGTTGCTCCCATTCGTATTCTAAACCATGCATGTTCTTTCACAAACTTTCAAGAGGAGGCGGTTTGCAAAAGCTGAAGAGCTTCACCAGTTGGTGATCTGGTGGAGATCCGGAGATTTATATATTCTTGAAAAGTAAAAGGAATAAAGAGACGCGGGTGGTCAGAATCCACCAACTGAGGTGGTGCTTCCACTTTCTCCTCCTTTGGTCCTAACACAAAGCAGGCCATTGATGTTCGTATTGTTCCTTCGTTGCATTGTACTCTATGCTTCACATTACAAAATCTTCCATTGCTCCATGCCTGTTCACATCATTATATATATGTTCAGAAGACTAAATTAAAAAACAGAACATATTTGTTTTTTCCATTTTCTTTTGTCAATCACACATCTACTTCGCTGCTATGAAATTGGGCACGTGGCCATTTGACTAACCTTAGCAAGGTCACCAACATTGACAAGGAGGGTCCCTGGCATTGGATCGATGGGGAAAAGTACACCAGTCTTCTTGTCCACGGCTTCCAGACCATTAACTATTTCATCATCATGTACTACGGTCAGAAATCCGGCGTCCGAGTGCATCGGAGCACCAGTTGATCCTACAGTTTGAGGACTGAAATGGTATTTGTTTAATCTAAATCTGCATGGCCATCCCTTGAACAAATCACTGCAAAACCCCATACTCTCTCCCAACCTACTTCCAAGTGTCATGGCCAGCTCATGTATAGCTGCAGTGTACTTCATTATTGTCTCCCTGTATTAAAAAAAATAAATAAATAAACATATGAGAAATGCTAAGTGTAGTAAAGACTGTTTGCGCAGCAACATCAGTGGTTGGATCTTGTGAGTCTCATAAATAACATATTGGTTGCATGTGATGGCACAGATATATACCTTTGGTGAGGAGAGACATGAAGGTGAGAGCACAAGGCATTGACAGCTCCAGGGGAGGCCATGTCGTAAACGTCCAATCCCTCAAGAAGAGGACTGGCCTCAAGAGGTGGACTGTACCCCTTGCCACCCACCGCCTCACCGTACAGGCGTTTGGTTTCCACGGGGAGGTCGAGGAGAGATCGGGAAATGAACTGCATCTCAGACAGCATAGTGGCGGGAATGCCATGGTTGATGATCCTAAAACATCCCCACTCCTCACATGCTGCTACTAGTTTCCCAGATTCTCCTGGAAACTTTTGCATATCGATCATTGGGATACAACAAGTAGTAGCCATTGATGATATTTCCTTTGATATATATATATATATATATATATATATTTCTCTCTGCCACTCCTTTTCTATTTTTTCTTGGCTTGGCTATTCTTCGTCGCTTGTGCTGCACTCCTTTTATAGATGCCAACATCAGGCATGGGTTAATGGGAGCATGACAAAATGAATTTGCCTAGCCTAGGTTTTCAATTTGTCAATGTTTGTCGTGTGCACGTTTCATGTATTATAATATATTTTTATATTACTAGTATAAAATATTTAATTTCTATCAATTATTCTAATTGTCTCGTGTAATTTTCTTTCTGAAGCTGCTGACTAAACTAAATGTGCATCGATATTGATTATGTTGGTTCTCTCTTAGGGATGCATCTAGAATGAATCATTCCCTTTGTACAGGATGCAATTTGAAAAGCTAGCACAACGCGTCACCTGTTTATGGGGTTAAATTATCATTTTGCTTTTATAATTTATTTTTATATTGAAAATTATTAACTACATATTAAATATTTAGGCTACGCCCAACAATTCCATTCAAACAATTGCATCCCAAAAATCCGTTCAGGGGAGGATTTATCTACTTGGCAGACATACAAGCTGAGGAAAACAAAGGATATGTAAGAGCCACACCATCAACCATTTTTTAATATTTTTTTGCTTGATTTGTTGTTCGAAGAAATAATAATAATAATGCAAAAAATGAGAAACAAATTTTGAAGACCGACCTAGATTTATCAAATTAAATAAACAGCAGACAACGAAAGTTCCAGAAGAGTCTTCATAGTCAACAATAAATAATTAGACTTAGAAAATTACCCTAATCACTCAACAAAGATTAGGGAATTATATGGTGCATTAATTACGGAAGGATATTTTTGATAAAAAATATATACGAAAAAGCCTCGCTATATTTTACTTCAAATCAATTTGTATGCTACCCTTTTTGGTGGAATTTTCAAAGGGAATAGGACTCAGTAGGTGACAAGGTGACAAGCCTTCAGCTAGTGTTTTCTTAAGTTTTTTTTGTTGAATTGTTATATAGGTCTTTATATATTGTTAATCTATTGCAAACTTGACTAATCAGGCTTCCCAGACACCAATTATTCCACTTTACGTGTTGCCATATTATAGGTGGTGATTAACTAAGGCTCATTGTATTTCAAATTTCGTTGGCTCTATTATTCATAAAGCTATAACACGTAGTAAGGCTTATTATTTTTCAAATTCGTATCTTGTAGATTACATCAAGCTCGGGAGTATCAAATTAAATTAAGGTCTTGGGTATATCAACTGTGGCTTATATATATATTAACTCCATCAAAGAATCAATACCCAAGACCTTGATTTAATTTGGTACTCCCGAGCTTGATGTAATCTACAAGATACGATTCTTGAATTTTTATTTTTATTTTATATATATATATTTTTAGTAGCAATATTTCCATATATATATATATTAACTCCATCAAAGAATCAATACCCAAGACCTTGATTTAATTTGGTACTCCCGAACTTGATGCAATCTACAAGATACGATTCATGAATTTTTATTTTTATTTTATATATATAGTGGTTTATTTCTTAGAATTGTGTGTACTTGTTTATTTTTTGTGATTAGATCACTGTAATTGCGCAGTTTCAGGTGCACAACATTTATTTGTTATTGGAAGGATTACATGAAAATTTGCTACACGCAAGGACTTATTTTAGTAGCACTATGTTCCACACTCATAAAATAACAAGCCTCGCTATATTTTAGTAGCAATATGCATGTGCCTTGTAAAATAATAATACTTTATCACGGCAAACGCAAGGACTTATTTTAGCAGCACTATGTCCCACACCTCATAAAATAAAGCGCCTTGCTATACTTTAGTAGCAATATGCATGTGCCTTGTAAAAAATAAGGCTTACTTTATCACGGCAAACAAATCACAATTTTTGCGGAAACGAGCACTTTTCCACTGAAGCTGCTTTGAACTTCTTAAATAAGTGGCACAATTATTCTATTTAGTTAAAATTTAGGATCCGTTTGACATGCCTTTTGTTTTAGGCTAAAATAGAAATAATATTTTTGCTGTAAAAGTACTTTGAAAAAAATCAAAAATACATTTTGGAACGATATTTTACTGTGAATATGTCGGAAATACAAACATGTAAAATATATTTGGTAGATCATGCGTTTCAAGAATTTTAAAAACAAAATATGTTTGTTCACTCCAACTGTTGAAAAAAATATATATATATATGTTTAGTTATCATTGTTTTTAATTTATTTTTATAAATTTTACGTATATTTATAAATTTATTTCTATATAAATAGTCATCATATTTTTAATAGATATGGAGAAATTTGAACACACGAACATATATATATATATATATATATATATATATATATATATTTGGTCTATAACAGTTCTAGTTACTATACTACATGAGAGTCAATATTTGTATACATTTTTTTTTTCCAAACTTGAACTCAATGGCACATTTTATGAAATGGTAAATTTATATAAATAGTCATTAAATTTTATAATTTATTTACAAAAATGTCTAAAAAGTACATTTTAATAATTCAAATATTATCAATATTTTTTCGTATATAACTATATAATGGCTATAAAAGTCTTAATTTTTTTTTTTATTATTATTTTTTTTTGCAATAACCTATTTACAAGTTATTTGCGATAACCTGTTTCAATTTTATTATCCTATTACATGTATAGTCCAACACAACATTAAAAATAAAAACAAACCCAACTGCAAGCATAAGTGGAATGGAGGGTATACTATTTACAAGTGCTTAAATATTCAACCAACAAATTTATTAAACAAATTTAAGTTTTACATAAAATGTTTGGAACAAAACATTAACAATGCATAGTTGTCACTAAAAATTGATATTATATATGTTCATAAAGTATATGACAATGGCAAGGACATTGAAAAACTAAGTGGCAGTGACAGACAATGGCCAAACTGATTGACAATGACACTGAAAATATCACTGGCATGCGGCAATGGCATTGAAATACTACTCTTCTTTGCATGAATGGAACATAAAAACTTATTATTCGCATACAACCCTTCAAGACAACATCAACACACATCATCATCATCATCATCATGTTGTCCATGGTATAGATGATGGTGACAAAAAAGGCTTATTATTTTTCTCTTTAGTTGAATTTCTCTTATACAATGCGATCAATGTTTTTATGTTTTAATTTCAGCATTTGTAACTATTTTTCATCTGGATGTTTTGTTTTGTTTTGTCCTTTTCAATAGAATAATAAATGCGTGACCGTGTTGTGGGGAGCTAAAATAATGTTGCTGTTATAGAGAGCATTTGTAACTTGTTTGCCTAGCTACCACCTGGCACCTGCCTCTAAACCCTTGTCGTTGAGAGATTCTATTTTTCTAGAGTTTTGGCCATCTCTCTGGCATTTTGTTTCCATTTTTAGTGTCCTACAATTAATTTTATTTTATTATTATTTTTTTTTAGGCCTTTGTAAACTGTAGGGGGAGAGAAACTGTATTATTATTTGATACTTTGTATACTTACTGGACACATAATATAAATACCGTATCGACAATTGCAGCATTACTCATATTTTTAGTGTTTAAAAGCTAGGTCTCGACTCCTTAACACATATTTTAAACCTGTTTGCATGTGTAGATCTATCTTTAGCATAAGCACCTAGGTCTCTAATGATGAGTTAATGATTCATTAAAGTATTTTCGAGACGAGGGAAGGGAAATATCAAAACTAACATGAAGGATCTGTTTTGCAACTAATTTATGTTTTGCGTTTTGGATTTTAAATGTAGTAGACCAATGTTTTTGTTTTATGTGATTTAATCTTAAACAGAAACATGTTTAGTTAAAAAAAATTGTTGAACAATGCTCCAAAGTAAAAAAAAAAAAAAAAAAACACACACACACTGTTTATATGATTGTAAAAAACATGATATTTACATTATATTGGCTTTTTTTTTTTTTTTTTTTTAAATAAAAAACCTAGTGCATTATAAAAGATAAGTCATAGTATGAGAAACATGACAAAACTTTCTCCTGTTTTTTAATTTTTCGATAATTTAAGAGTGTTGTTCATAAAAGAAAATATGTACATTGGCATACGCCATGGGCCTACAACAATATCGGCCTGAAGCCCAAGGGCAAAGAAAAAATTGAAAGCCCATGTAACACAGGTTAAGTAATATTCACATTAATACAGAAATATAGAGTCAACTCTTTTTCTTTTCTGGCAATGGTTAGTAGGTCAGTGGGTAGGGGCGGAGGGAAATCGAAATCTGGACCTATATAGTCAACTTAGTTTTTGTTCATAGGTTGATATGTGCAGTATGTAAATGGGTCAATACAAGACCCAACTCAAAACGAGAATTAGCAACTATAGTTGCATGCCAAAAGGCCAACTAACAAGACTACTGAACAAGAAACAATTGGCCCAGCCCAGGAGGAATTAAGCCCAATGCCCATCCCCAATTTCAACTGCCAATTTTAAATTGCAAATGCAGTTAGGGTTTCGCTGATGCGCCTTCTTTCCTGTGCCACAGTTGTTGTAAGCATCAAATTTCTTCTCATCTGGAGGTCGAAGGCATGAGTGAAGCAGGGATATCCATTTCATGTATTAACCGAATTTCGCAAATGGACCACGGTGGAGATGAGGATAGGTGGATTTAATTCCTTGGTAGAGTCTGGAATTCTGTTTTTCCCAAATGTGGTAGATTGTTTCCCTCAGAGTGAGCTTCGAGACCACGGTGGAGATGGACTTCGATCGCCGGTGAAGAGATGCCCAGGCAACCATGGAGAACCAGTCCATTTTTTTTATAGGTAAAAGACTGATACACACAATAGGTAAGAAAATGTGATGAGGAGCTAGCTGATTTCATGTAGCATCTTACCCATATTCAATATATTCTTTTCTTGCAATTAACACGCCATACTTGTTGATGATATGCAGAGGTTGAGGGGTCTGGTGTTTGCTTCTTTTGTCGTCGTGGATGTTTATTTTCATGTCCCTATGCAGCCGCCAGTATGGATTTCCATTGATAACTTGGCTCTCTCAGGTAACTCCTCTAAGCTTCTTTGGTGTCAACCACACCCAATTCACTACTCTCATGCCCATCTTACAATATTAACTGAAACATTGAGGTTATTAGATTTACTTTTGCATTGATTTCAATGTTTCATTGGCCTTAAAGAATTTTAATTAAGGAATTGTTGATGTTACCCAAACATTGTCAAGCTTAATTGCTTAGGAAACCATATATATACTCTCATTCCACTATTTCGCCATCAGATGTGCTTAAAATAGGGAATCACAGTTTGATTGTGTGTGTGAAAATATTATTTATTTTGATAAATAAGCTATGTATTCAAAGAGAAACCACAGTACAGGATTAAGAGGGGCATTCCCCAATAGTACAAGCAAACTAGAACAACAAACCATCTGAAGGAATTAAACATTCCAAAATGGAAGGTATCTAACAGTGTGACTGTTTAAGCTAGAAGCAGGGAACCACAGCATTTCGAGTCTAATAGAGTTGTAGTTTTGAAGGGATGCAGAGCACTCATCCAAACAAGAAATATTAAATTGTTGTTTCTATATTTTATGTAAAATCATGCGAGCACCATGCTGGGGGTCTAGGGATGCAATATAGGAAGGAGAGTGTTGATAAGATGGAGAAAGCTCAAATGAGAAGTGCCGTAGAATCATAGCTATAGCCATCTTTGCCTCTAACATTGCAAAGTTATACCCAATGCATATTCGGGGGCCCGAGCCGAATGCCAAGAAAGAGCCTTGGTTTTTTGTTGCCTTTGCAACCCCCTCCGAAAATCTCTCTGGTTTGAACTCTTCTGCATCTTCACCCCAAATTTCATTATCATGATGAACTAGGAGTAAGGGGCACAACACCTGCACTCCAGGAGGTAGAGTCATATCACCTAGTTTTGTTTCTCTGCAAGTAACTCGGGTAACCATAGATGAAGGAGTGTATAATCTAAGAACCTCATTCAAAATCATTGTTACCTGCAATCAATAAATGTTGGAAATTATCAATTCTGTGAATATTATGTAACATGATTTACTTCAGAAATGAATCTATAGAAAGCACTTACAATTTTAAGGCGATTTAACCCATCATAATCTGGTTCATTGTTCCCGAAAACATGCTGAACCTCCTCTCTTGCGTGCACTTGCCAGTTTGGGTGCATGCTCAACATAACCATTGTCCACACTAGCAAATCTGCGGTGTTCTCTTGGCCAGCAAAATAGAATAGCTTGCACTCATCGATGATCTCTTCAATACTCATTCCTGCATCCTTGTTGCCTTGTTCTTTAATTTCATTCTGATTGGATTTAAGCATCACACCCAATAAATCACTGTCACTAACTTCTCCTAATCTCTCCCTTTTATTGATTATACCCCTCACAAGACCTTGCACTTCCGCATAAATTTCCTTCATTTTCCTCATTCTCTTAGTTGGTAGAAACCTATACATGAACAATTGCACCAAAATGAAGTAAACAAGTAGTATGCAAATTTTCAGTTAATTGTACCAGTTGTAAATCATACCTGTCATACAGCAGCATGATATTCAATTATTACTTTTTCATAACTAAATTTAAAGCAATACCAGTTTAATCTTCCAGTTTGAAAGTATTAATCGAACTGTGCGCATGATATTTTTTATTTACCTCCATCCTGGAATGTAAAATGACTGAAGAACGTCGTGCGCGAGTTCACATTGTTCTCTTTGGAGTTCGAATATCCTTCCACCTTCTTCATAGCTGCTACCAAATGCTGTTCGAGAAATTACATCACAGGATAAATTTAGAAGATAGGGCCAAACATCCAATTCACATGAACTCTTTTCTGAAACCAGCTTCTTCCATTTACTCATCATCTCGCTACAACTCAAATACATTGCAGGTAGCAATTCCTGAAAATACAAAATACACAGTAGTAACATGGGAAAGAATTTGTGTCTTGGGATCATGTTATTATTTTTTTAAGAGAATTTGGAAACTATCATTTGGAGGTTAGTTCAAAAAAAAAAAAAAAAAATGTTTTATTGATGTTAAGAACAGAATATGAAATTGATAGTTACCTTCAACTTCTCTAGATAGAAAGCCTGGTTGAGAATCTTTCTGTGCTTAGCCCATTTCTCATCCTCCAGGCCTGCGATGCCAGACACTAGCAACTTGGAAATTGGATTGTGCTTTACCTTCTGGAAAATATCGGTCCTAAGCAAGACCTCTTTAATTAATTTGGGATCCAGTATGTTAACCCTAGGAATGGGGCCAACCCATGCAAAAGAATTTTTACCTGCATTTTTTGCCATTGTGTCAAGATTATTAGAAAAACCTTATGACAGTGATAAGCCAGTAATTTGCAGTTATGGTACCGAAAATGAAGCTCAGAATCATGTCAATACATACCATACTTCCGAACTGAGTGATGGTAGAATGGTAGAGCATGGGGCACAATATCATCGGACAAGTTCATGGTTGTACTTCTTGCTTCTTTAATCATGGCGTAAATTTGTTTGGAGTCTCCATAGAAAAGCCGGTATGGATTTCCCTTGAAACCTTGCTGTCTCAGCAGTCTCTCGAGCTTCTTTGGCCTCAACCACAACCAGTTCAGAACTCTCCCTGCGCATGATAGAAAAGCAACCAAAACAAAGGAGATCACAGTTGAGTTAAGTGTTACTTCCATTTTCAATGGCAAAATTCTTTTTTGGCAATAGTTTCTGTGGTATTGTTGATGGTGAAGAAGCTTATTCAGGAGGGAGCCTAGAATACTTATTTATTATGGCCTTTGTGGTGGTTTTTATTTTTTATTTTTTTTGAAGGAAGTGGATCTGATTCTCCCATATGTTACCAGAGGTTGGAAGTATATTATAGATCAAAGGCTTACAATGTGTCTGAATAATTCTAAATATTATATTCTTTGCGGTCATATTATACATATTATTTTTCAAATTTAGGAGTATATGGTGATAAATGCCTCTTAGGAGTATGTGGTGATAAAGAAATACTCCCTTTGTCTAAAAAATAATTCGTCTCTTGGGTACTATGATTACCAATAATTTTTCAAAAGAGGCATTTGTTTTGGGACCGAGAGAGTACTTATTATTTTTTAAATTTAATTGTCAAAAAGATATGGTTATTTCCCCTAAAATATTTCACAAATTTTCATGTAGTCGTTGCAATAGCTTCAACGTGTGGAACATATTGCCCCTAAAATATCTCACAAATTTTGAAGTAGTCCATTGCAGTATCAACACCCATTGTCCCATAAATGATGACGGGATGAGATTTTTTTCTAGTTCAACAACTTTGGAATCAAAAGAGTAGGGGCAAATTACACAAAGTACTCCCCAAGTTCTCATGTATGCATGTATATAGAAAGTGGTACAATACATTAGTCAACAACCATTGTGGTTTCATGGACCTTGCACACAAACCTTCGTTTGTGAGCTGAGCGTAAAATCTGCTTGGGATAATTTTTTTTTGACGAAACTAACCTTCTTGTTGTGAAAAAACCAAATTATCCATTCGTGTGAACTGAAATTACGTCTTCGCCTGGACAAAAGTATCCTTCTTCCATTTGGATCATCTGACTTTGAATATCAGTATCGCCATTGCCCCCCTTTGTCTCTCAACGTTGCTCTCTCTACTTCAAGAATTTCTCTCTCGAATTTATTCATCAAGAAGAATGGAGTGTTACTAGATTACATATATGTATATATCATTGAAGGCTTACAAGGTCCTTGAGTGAAAGTGTTGCAAACCAGAGTCGAGGGTGAGATTGACCCAAAATTAAAAACCCAGATCACCAGAAGTGGCAAATGACAGAGAAAATAAAAAATGGCAATAAGTGCCTCTGCACGTGTGTAGATAGTTATATAATTTTCAAATCTATATATACCGTGTGTGTATTTATATATATGTATGAGGAAAGGAAGTGAAGGGAGTCCCAACTGGAGTGTTTTTCGAGAAGGGACAAAATCATAACTGATAAACAATTTTAAAATTTTTTTTATTAAACAAATAATTTAATTTTAAGGACAAAAATGTAAATTCATACTAATACATTTCCCACAAACAGTCTGTTATATTGTGGCATCTTCTGATGAAAAGTTGAGGGGTACTTTATCTAATTTGACCAAAGAGTAAATAGAGTCGTCGGAAATTTAAGTAAATGGTGTGAGTTTGTGACATGACATTTTGAAAGGGATTATTTGCCCGACAAAAACGTCGACTCTATCGAGTGGATGTGGGCCGTGTGGCTGTTTGTGGTCTAAAGTAGTGGGGCCCACCTTACACAGTAAAAATTTATACGTTCTGTTTGTTTCCTCTTGGCTGCTCGTTCCTCTGCTCGATCCGCGTCAACTCCATGGATTTCTCCGCCCACTGTATCCGACATGGTAGAATTTTCTTGGACATTAAGTTGCACAACCATTTTTTTTTATTGAATCAACTATATTCGCCAAAAAAAAAAAAAAAAAATAGATATTTTTAAATCGAGTAAAAATCTAAACAAACCTATACAAAATTATGTAAATTCAGTTCAACTAACTCCATAAACAAGATTTTAATCTACGTTCTCTGATTCGGAACTTGAATACAAAACCCAAAAAAATTTCTTATTTGCAATCCGAATACAAAACTCTAATAGGCTGCAAAAAAATTGAACTAAATTTTTTTCAATAGTATCAATTCTAATTCCAATTCCAAAATTATAGTAATTTCATTCAGCCGAACACGATCTAAAAATGAATTAAAAAGAAAACCAAATTGCAATTAACATCCTCTGATTCAAAATCCAAAAACAAGATCCTAGAAATATGTTAGAAAGATATCAAAAACAATTTCAATGAATTTGCTATAAGGAAAAGAGAGAGAAGGCATAAAAGATAAGAAAAATACTAAACATCACGCACCAAAATTCATGATTTTAACTAGAAATATATTCAGTTGCCAAGCCTTTTTTTATTTCTTATTTCTTTTTTTTATTTTATTTATTTGGTGATACAATGTCTCAATTATTTTACTGCGGCTACATCATATGGATCCGCAATAACCAAATCCTATATTTTGTTATGAATCTTTGAAGATGGATGTAGTACCTTTGAAGAAGTTGGTCCGATAAAAGTAGTTTAAAGATGAGGCTTAAAAGAAGAAAAAAAAGGTAAAATAATAGAGGTGACATAAAGCATTGAGATAATCCGATAAAAGTTGTTTAAAGATGAGGCTTAAAAGAAGAGAAAATGGTAAAATAATAGAGGTGACATAAAGGTTTATCACCGGGAAAAAGCATTAAAGATAAACTTGATCTTAACCACCGGGCCACCCATTCGAGATATGAGCTAAAACTTTTAAATATAGAATAGTAATATGTATGGGTCTTCTGGGTTAATCAGCTTGTTCACGAGCCTAACAAGTCGAACTTAATATTATTCAAATTTAGCTTATTTATTAAACAAATTTGTAATTCAAGTTCGATTTGTTTTTTAAATGAACGAGTCCGAATCAAATTTTTAACAAAACTTCTAGTGTTTAAAAATATATATTTCATTTTAATTTTTTTCCTTGCTATTTCCTCTAACAAAACTGAGCCTTAGGAACTAATCACTCAATCCTCCACGTGAGAAAAATTAAATATATATATATATATATATATATATATATATATATATATATATATTTTAAGTTCAACCTTAAATGGGCATGGGTCTAAAGGGTTCAAAGGTGTTGAAAGTAGAGTTATAACCGCGATGAAGTCCAGATTAAATTTGTTTTTTTAAACCTTCATTGAAATGTGATTTTAAACGCTTTGGAAGTAGGTATAAAAGTCCATATTAGGATTTAGATTAAATTTATTGATTTATTTGAACTTGTATCAATTTTAGATTCTGGTAGATTTAAGTGCGTTGAAAATTGGGTCTTTACTGTATGTCTTAAGATTGAAGCATTAGTGACTGTTTGGGCTTCTTAAAATTCATTATGGCAAACTCAATTGAAGGTTTAACGAAGTGGATAGTGTTAGAGTTGTACTGCACAATCAATCGAATTTGATTCTAGTTATTGTGGTGGAAACGCAAAATAACAATGCACGTTATTTGAGGAATAATCAAGCAATCACAAAGAAAAAAAATCACACACAAAAATATAAGATATACATAGTTCATCCAAATCTTAGGGCTACGTCCATAGAGCACGCCGAACAAATTCACTATGAAAAAGATGAAGAACTACAAAGAGAATTCTCTCTCAATCTCTCTCAATTGCTCTATCTTGTATTGGCACACATTTATCTTTAATTTTCACCCCTATTTATAGAGTCCCAAACTTGTCCTACATGAACTTGCCTTTTGTAGAATCTAAAACTAATAAGGAAATTAAATTAGGTTAGGAAACTGAATTTTCCTTAAACCAATAAGGAAGTCAATTCAGATTAGGAAACTGAATTTTCCCTAACAGATTAGGAAACTGAATTTTCCCTAAAATTCAGTACTTTTGAAGTTTCCATATAATTAAATCTTTCTAAAAAACTTCCACCTAATCAGACTCCACAAAACCACAACAATCTCCCACTTGGAGTCTGGAGCATTTGTAAACCCATTCCATCTTCTTCTCATGCATGTCCCATACATGTCGGTGCGCTTCTTTCTGTCTTCAAGCTAGAAGACCAACTGAAGTTGCGCACAACTTCAGTTTCTCCATGGTCACTGTCTTGGTCAACATGTCAGCCGGATTCTTGGTGCCAAGTATTTTCTCAAGTGTCAACACCCCATCTTCTAACAAAAATCTGATAAAGTGATACCGAAGTCCTATATGCTTGGTCCTTAAATAAAATGTTGAATTTTTTTCCAGATGTATCGCACTTTGACTATCACTGTGCAAAACATTCTTCACCTGTTCGAATCCCAACTTTGTTAACAAACCTTGTAACCAAATCATCTCCTTTTTGCCCTCTGTCATCGCCACATACTTTGCCTCTGTAGTAGATAACGCTACAATCCTCTGTATTTGCGAAACCCAACTAACTGGAGTTGTACCCACTATGAACACATACCCGGTAGTACTTTTTCTGTGGTCCACCAGGCCAGCAAAGTCTGAATCTACATAGCCATGTAGCTTCACTTCGCCCCTTTTGAAACACAGGCATCTGTCTGTGGTACCCCGTAGATATCTCAATATCCACTTTACTGCTTCCCAATGTAGCTTGCCCGGATCCTTCATGAACTTGCTTACTGCTCCCACTGCATATGCAATGTTTGGTCTTGTGCACGCCAAGGCATACATCAAACTTCCAATGGCTGAGGCATATGGAATTTTAGCCATAAAGTTTTTCTCATCTTCTGTCTTCGGACACTGATCTTGAGATAATCGGAAGTGATTAGTTAAGGGAATACTCACCGCCTTAGCATTATTCATGTTGAACCTCTTCAGAATCCGTTCAACGTACTCAGGCTGAGACAACTGCAAAGTACCTTTCTGTTTGTCTCTGCTAATCCTCATCCCAAGAATCTGCTTCGCTGTACCAAGATCCTTCATCTCGAATTCACTAGACAACTGCTTCTTCAATTTGCTGATTTCTTCAAAATCAGAACCGGCCACTAACATGTCATCAACATAAAGTAGAAGGAAAATGAAACTTGACTTAAACCTTTTGCAGTAGTAGCAATGGTCAGCGTTGCACTTGTTGTAGCCATGTCGCTTCATAAAACCATCAAACTTCTTGTACCACTGCCTCGGGGCTTGCTTCAAACCATGTAAGCTTTTCTTCAACTTGCACACTAGTTTCTCTTTCCCTTTGACTGAGAAACCCTCCGGTTGTTGCATTTAAATCTCCTCCTTAAGGTCACCATGGAGGAAAGCAGTTCTGACATCTGACTGCTCAAGGTGCAACCCTTCTGCTGCAACAATGCTAAGAACTGAGCGAATGGTACTCAGTTTCACAACCGGGAAAAAAATGTCTGTGTAGTCAATGCCTTGCTTTTGCTGAAAGCCTTTGACCACCAATCTCGCCTTGTATCTCTTGGAACCATCGTGTTCCTCTTTTTCCCTGTACACCAATTTGTTGTGAAGAGCTTTCTTCCCCATGGGCAACTTGGCTAGTTCCCATGTTTTGTTGGAGATAAGTGACTTCATCTTATCTTCCATTGCAAGCTCCCACTTGCTAGCATCTTCAACCTGACATGCTTCATCATAGCATTCAGGCTCACCATCATC